ATGCAACGTAGAGATTATTATTGCTTTAAAAGATTACCTGTAAAAAAAAACGTTTGCAGCTTCTAGGAGAAATTGGGTTTGACTGTGGTGTGATTAGCTTTGGATCCTGTGAAAGCCCTCAGTATTATTTCGATAGGTGTTATCTTTTGGTTTTGTTAGCCACACTCTGAAAGAAATCAGAAAATTAGTTTTCCTAGACCTGGACTTTGACAAATATTTGTTTTAGCCTGTCATAATGTTGACTCTACAAAAGTTTCATGCTTGATGATTCACCAATCTTCCCTCTTCCCCTTTTTTCTTAAAAAAAGCATGGTGATCTAATTGCTAATTGTTTTCATGCCTTAAATAAATTATCAGCAGTCTAATCACTATATGATCAAATCTAGCTGTAGAATCTGGTCCCTTAATCCTGCTAGCGCTAGATGTTCTTTAAACCCTGGGAAAGTATAGAAGCATCTCTTTCCCATGCTCTTGAGAACTGAATCATGGGTGTGTCTGAAGCAATGTTGGCAATTTGTTTGGGTACTAATGAAGAGCGTTCTTGGTGCCTCTTCCTGAACAGTTACATTTTCTTTGCCATCTTCATCTTTCTCAGATGAATCAAGACCAATCAAGCCAATCAAAGGTGAAGGATGGAAAAATGTGATAATGATCAGGTGTTCAGTTTCATAGCTGAAGTATCTGAGATTTTTCTAAAGCAGCTATCCATTTCCAAAAGTCAGCATCTCTTCCAGCTCATAGTCCTGTCCATTTTACAAATCGTATATACTGTGTCAATGTGTATTTTTTAAATTGCTGTATGCATCAATTGTATTAAGCCTTCTGGGTAAAACTTTTTTTTTATCTGTTGGATTGCTAAGTGTCTCACTTGTCAGGAGCATGTCTTCAGCAAACAGCAGAGTATGGCTGTATTTCCTATTTGTTTATGTTTGCAGGGCTATTTGTTTATGTATGTTTGTGTTTATGTATGTTTGTGGGACTGAGAGAGGTGAATAATACACAGTAATTGTTATGTGGTATGAAATTTATGAAGGAAAAGAAGAAACTATTAAACATAGGTACTTAGGAGATAATAAAGAAGTGGAAATCATTATATTCATAGTCTAGGCATAGCTCATTATTTTGCTTGTAGGGACAAAGACAAGGTGTCCTTTCATTTCATTTATAGCATGCCAGGTATGATAAATTTGAGTCTGCTTCCTGGCTTCTCAAAGGATCTTTGTGTCTCTCTTTTCTTTTTTTTCAGTCCTTCAACTTTCTCTGTAACTTCCTGATTATATGGCAAGAAACCAGATTCACTTATCTCCTCTTCCTACAGAAACTGGACATGGGGTTTTGGAGATTTTTACCTCCTTTTCTTCATATGAGTTACTCGAGTAGAACTTGCTTCTTTAGCTGACCATATATTTTCTAGACAACACTATAAAATTGGCATTGTTCTTGTCAATGATAAAGCTTCTTAGGAAGTTCTTGTCCCTGAGATCATACTGTTCCTTAGATGGCTTGCTGCATTTTGCAGGTACAACCCACCCCCCCACCCTCCCGAAAAAAAAGAAGTACAGCAATATTAGCATCCTGTAACTCAGGATAAAATTATTGCATCAGATGACATTTGGAGAATTATCTTTGTTGGAACAGGTTTTCAGAAATGAATAGTTACATTCAGAAGGCTTCATAGTTATCTCCTCTCTGTATGCTCTGAGCAAGTAATTACTCTTCTTAAATTCTCATTTTTCAGCATTTATCATTAGCTCACTTTTTGTCATTCCAAGTCTTTTTGGTATAAAAAACATAAATGACTGTCATCCAAACTGCTTTGTACTATTTCAATTGTTAGCTGTCCATGCCAGCCTCTTCCTCCCTTTGTAACTTGCTACATGACTGAATCATTTTTCTGTTACTCTTTATTTTAAGTGCCATTTCTATTTGTTAACACTTTCTCATATTAAATGAAACCACAATCTTCCCAAAAGATTTGTTTCTTTTAAAGAAGAAAAAAAAAAAGTAAAAACTTAAAAGGAGAAAAATCCATATGTTAGAAAGATATGGATAATTAACCCAAATATTTTTGGCCAGGGTTCCAGACCAATGAATAATTTCCATGACTCACTGGTCTAGCACTCTGGTGATGTGACTGGAGGACATATTGGAGAAACCACAGAGAGAGCCAGACTCTGCCTTGTTAAAACTATTGGGAAATTTTCTCAATGTATTTCCCTGTGAGTGAAATAAAATCCTTCCTTTGTTATTCCCCCCCTCTCCTAAAAAAAAAAGTAAAATACCACGACCCCTCAAAAAAACCAGTGAGTTTGCTGTGGGTCTCAGTACATGTCTTTCATCATGGACACTTTTACCTCTTAATTCTACATCCCATTCTTGAATTCTGTCATAAAGTTTCTCTAATGTAGATGTTTCTTGTGACAAGCTGAAACTCAGCTGGCTGAAGTGATGCAAAGCTTTTCCCTCTGCAAGCTTCCTAAGTAGTGTGCCACTTCCCATTGTCATTAATCAGTAGGCAACCTTCAGCACCCTAGACTATACCCTTCCTGAAATTTTAATTTTCCTTAACTTCCATGAACTTCTCTTGTCTTGTATTCCTCTTAATCCTGCTATAAAGCTCTTTGCTGTTGTCATTAGAAGTTGATAATAGTTAGGTTGATAGTTTAATGATACATCTGCTTCTGATTGTCTTTTCTTATGCACCATTTCTTTTCTTTTACATAGATAATGCCAGCTTTGGGCCAGGAAGAAACAAAATTGCCTCTTTTTGTTCCTTCTGGAGCACTTAACAGAGCACCATTTTGGCCTGTGGTTAGAGCTCCTCTGGGACAGCAGCAAAAGTTGTTTTGTTATTCTTAATTGAAGTGTGTGGAAAACCAGAACTGAGGCCTAGGAGTTTTTATGCACTTATACTAAAAGGTTCAACGTAGCACAATCTTCTACAGAGCAGCAAAAGCTGTTGCAGGAACCTTGGTTACTTAAATTCCTCTGTCAGTCTTGTGGAAAAAAGATTGCTTTTTCTTGCAAAACTTGACTTCTTTCTATATCAAGCAAGAAACTCCATTGTCATTTTTTAAATACGCATTTCTTGGTCAGAGCTCCCTTGGATAAAGCAATTGGTAGAGGGAAAAATCTTCATGTTGCTTCTGAGTCATCTCTTCACTCAAAAAACCCAAAACGAGTAATTCTGTGAGCAGCTGGACTTTTGAAGTTGATTTGCTGTGGCCATATATGAGTGAATTATCGTAACAAATGTTTGAAGATGCCTTACAGCAAGGGCACAAATTTGGATTTCTTATCAGGCTGTTAGTTATTAAAAGCTTTGACATCTCTACTCTCTGATTGCTCCAGAAATACTGGATGACTTAAAAACATTGAAATGGAGGGAGGGAAAGTATAGGGATCATAACATTAACGGTATGATCTTAGGAGCTCAATTTTCTTAGGAAACATAGATTAAAAATCCTCCAACCCTAAACTATTTTTAATTCCTGCAGTCTGTAAAAATATGTTTTCACAGCTTTGCATAGATACAGTGTCTTGAGCTTGTGGAGTTGTGTTATCCCACATCATGCCGGTGTAGTCTGCCTGACCTTTGTTGCTTTGTTTATGCCAATCATTTGGAGTCTAGTAATAAATACCAAAGTCAACAAGGCTCCAAGTGAAATTAAGACTGTTCTTTTAGTAAATTAGCATAACTATTATCACAAAATGAAAATTGAAGAAGAGGAAGGTAAAGTGGCTTCTGGTGGAGAAAATACCAAATGACTTGAGACTGCCAATATATCATTGTTTAGTTTTCTATCATGATGGAAATTTCAAGGTAGAAACAAATGCACATTAGATCACATTAAACATAGAAGGTAAAAGACTGTATTTGCATGATTTGCAGAAAGCAAAACAAATTGACCACATCTAGTGTTAATATTGATCAAATAATTATATTTTACTGGTTACTAGACGTTAGAATAACCTATCTTTCAGGAAATATCTGCAACCTACGCCTCATGCAAAATTAAATTAAAATAAGATTTTTAATACCTTTGTTTTAATTATCCTCTTAACCTTTTTTCTAGTTTTAATTAAATTTTAATATGCCATATTTATGAATCCAGTACTGTAGGTTTATTTTTATATTAGACTAATTTAAACTATTTTAGACTAATTGGTCTGAATTTCAGTACTGTTGTAGTTCCTTGATATTGTAGTATTTTATGAAAAAATGTCCAGTTTTATTATGTATATAGTAGCTCTTTATATTTAACATAATTTGTATGTTTGCTTCAGAGAAAAATCACTTATTATGATTTTAAATTAGCGTGCTTTTGAATTTTACATATATTGGCTTGCCACCTTTTTATGGGGATGGAGGGCAGGGACTGTCAACACATAAGGCCTTTGCCACCCAGAATATTGCTTTAGGCTTACCGCCTCTGATAACATTTTGAAAGTTGGGGGATTTTTCCTTATTTTTTCTGGGCTCCTTGGCATTAGCATAGAGTTGGAGGAACAACAGTGGCCCTGCAGTGCATCACGTGGGTTCTATTTGTCCATACCCTTGCACCTTGCAGATATACTTTTCCCTGGGGACCTGCTGCCTTCAAGGGCACTGAAAGTCTAGGTCTACACAGAGTACCTGCCTGAAGACTTTGACTTCCTGGGCTTCCAGAAGGCAAAATCTAGGCCCTCACCAATTCACTTACAGTCCACATTGCTGTCACTTTCTTTCACTGAGAAGTACACTGGTTTGTGAAACTTCCTCACCCACCAACTTTCCCTTTTTACCTTCTGATTTCTTTCATCTTAGGCAGTTAAATGTCGGAGGAGATTGACATTGCTACAAATACTTGCTTTGGAAAGATACTTGGTGATCTGTAAATTTAAACCAGTATCTTGTGTTTTCTGTAGAGTTAAAATATTTTAGATCTTGAATATATGCTTTTTACTTTTTTGCAGATCCAGTCTTGCTTATGGAATTGTTGAAGATCTGAGATCAATGAAAAAACATTTTTGCATGCAAAAAAGGATCATTTTGGCTTATCTGTTTTAAAATCAAGGGTGGCACTCAATGACTAATCTACAAGATTTCTTTGCTGACATCTGAAGAACAAAGTGCTTTTCAACCTGTACTTCCGTAGCACTATGACTAACTGTAAAGGCAGATCTACCGTCTCCAAAACAAGTAGTAAAGTTCATGACAGAGAAGGTTTTGTAAACTGGACCATAAATCTTAATACAATTCAGTCTGATAAATTTTTGGGACTGCTTTTGAGTATGGTTCCTGTTGTTTACCAAATAAACCAGGATGAAAGACACAAAAAAGTGAATGGTGTCTGGCAAGATGGATTACAACCAGCAGGACACAATTTTAATGTTAGGTCTGAACAACACACAGAGTACCATCACTTCTCAGAACCGGGTTTTCATGGTAGTAATGGACACAGCCCATCTAGCTGTAGCCCTAAATACGATAATTTTACCAGTTATAATTACTGTGATGGAATGGACACTTCAGAAACAGATGCTATGTTGCAGGAAGACAATCTATCCAGTGACAGTAATGAAGATATCATTGTGGAAGGAAGTAGAAAACAACCCAAAGAATCTAGTAGTATTATGGCATTACAGATACTCGTACCTTTTTTGCTAGCAGGATTTGGAACTGTTTCTGCTGGCATGGTTTTGGATATTGTACAGGTTGGTATTTGCTTTGAAAGATTTTTTTTTTAACAGGTAGTCTGTGAGGTTTATAATTGTGATGTGTGATATTGTAGATGTTTACAATGTTGGGGAATAATTAGGCCTGTGTATGGTCCTGCTGCTATGAACTCCCTTTCCCCAAACCTCGTCTTAAGCAGTTCCAATATTTAATTTGGAGTCATTCAAGTCTTGGTAAGTGTTGTCGCTTAGCCACAGTGAGCTGGTGAATAAAACTGTTACCTTCTGCTTTAACTAAGGACAGAAATATAGTAAGGGTTCAAAATTCTGTTGACACTAATAAATGTATACATAGTCAAGTGGGAGTTGTAATTAACCGTGATGCCACGATACATAGGTGTTTAAAAAGATTAGAAGTATGTATTGCATTATCTCATCTCCTTGTGTGCTTCAAGTCTATGCAATTTCTGAAATACTATGTAGATTTGGTCCGTGATAATGCATATGGTATATGAAAATATGCATTACATTCATATGTTATATGAAGTTTATACGAAGTGATTTAGAGCTTTTTTGAATATTCAGGTGTATGTAAGTGACTTTTAAAATATAAAATTAGGTATACCAAACACTTGGAATTACAAACATTGGTGGTCTGAAGAGGGCTGCAAAGTCATGTGCCCCTTGAAATATAATTGTAGTAGGTCCAGAGAAGCCAGATTATCTTGGTATGTGGTAGCAGAGTTAACTGATGATAGTTATTCAGGGCTGAGATAAAATAGAACTTTCTTTCAATTTTAAGACTGAAGTTTAATAATATTTTCAAAACCTGTTTTGGAGTATTATATCACTAAGACCCTACTGACATGGAACATTTTTAGGACAAGGTTTCACCTTGTCTTCCTTCCATTAAGGGAATGTGTTTGTATAGCTGGTTTGGGGGTTGGACTGAGATATATCTTGATTTTTCCTTCTATATTACTTTTAATCCTTATTGGTTTCCTGGTCCAGCTCACCATGAATGAGAGAGATGTAGCACAAAGGCAAAAATAAATAGCTACTGTCAGTACTATCTTTTTTTCACCTTAAACTAAGCATTAAACTGTGATGTCAGTAAAGCAGAATTTTGAAATGTGACAGGATATGTTTTAAAAATGAAAATTTGAACACAACAAGCATTCCAAGCTTGTTTTTTACAAACCAGTTCATGGCTATTCTTTCCCCCTAGTAAATACTCATGTAACTTCACATATAGGTAATTCTTGGATCTTGTTTACATTTGAGAATTGAATCCTTTTATTTTAATTAAAATAAATAATAATTTGAATGATTGCAAATCCCAGAATAGAAAGACAATTTACAGTTTTGTTAGTTTAGTTAAAGTTGGTAAATGATTACAAATTAAATACATGGATTGATAGACATACAAAGTAGCACAGCATTTCAGTGCTGAGAACTCAGTGCACAAAAAATTATGGGAGAGTTTGCTTTATAAAATCTGGGTTTTGGAAAACTGTACTCTTCTAAATTTCACATGTAGAGGTGAAAGAATAAAGATAAGCTTTTTTCACTTACCGGCTCTGTTCATTTGATGATTAATTCCTTGCTGGTTTTATGTGAGGTTTCTACACAGCTGGAAGGGAAAAGATGAAAATATTATTGTAAATTAAGAGCAGAATTCAAGAGCAGTCATAGTACCTGGTACTATTTCAAAGTCATGAAAAAAAAAGACTTCAGATTAATGACATCTTTTTTTAACTAGGTTTGTTTTAAGGCCAAGTTTTGTATCTCTTACTTTCAGTATTCTCATCTTTGAAGTAGTAATATGCAGTCATAAATCTATTTTATCTACATAGATAACAGTTCTGGCTTTAGACTTTTAGGTCTAATATAAAAAGATTGATTTTTTTTTTTTTTAGAGGATTAAGTTACAAGTTACAGAATTTTTTAAGTACTTTGCAGATGGTCTAAAGACAATTTTTCAGTTGTATGTTTCCTACTGTATCCTTTATATAGCACTGGGATGTGTTCAAGAATGTTACTGAAGTTTTTATCTTGGTTCCTGCACTTCTTGGTCTCAAAGGAAATTTGGAAATGACCTTGGCATCCCGGCTGTCAACTGCTGTAAGTAACTTTCTCTTCCCCTTTGCTCTTCAGATATGTTTTGTAAATATTTCAAAAGGAAAACAAATCTTTGGAACACAAGTGTTTTACGTTTATGGCCATATCTGGCTGTTATGGGGGCTCTTTAAATCTGTTATTAAATTAGCAAACTTAAAAAGGCAACCCTCTTCTGATCTCCACATGTCAAAATTTTACTTCTTTTGTCTCTTCTGAGTCATCATTCAAAACAGATACAGTAGATTTTTGAGATTTATATGTGTATTCTGTAAAGTTGACAGATCTCTTTGGCCTTGAGGGGGGTTGAAATAGACTAACAAAATGTGTAAGTTTTGGACACATTTTTCTAAAGGCCACTTGTGTGGCACTGAAATAAAGCATTGCTAACACTGCTACTCCAGATCCCTGTTGATCAAACTGTAAGAAACTCTTTTGTGGCTTTCTGGCTGAATAATTTTATTCCTTTTTTGTTGTGGTGGTTTTTTGGGGTCTGCTTATTTTTTGTGTGTGGCAACACTCTTACACAGCATAACTAGGTTTTTTTCTATGTCTTCTTTCTTACATACTTGTCATAGTTCTTTTCTACATCTCAGGGGATGTTCCATCTATCTTTTCCCTTACCATCTATCTTTTCTGTGTGTGTGTGAATAACTATAGTGAATAAAATGTTTTAATAATGTGGCTAAACTATTTCTGGTACCTGAACTGGGTATCTCTGTAAGACACTGCCTAATGCAGTGTTTCTCCTTTGTAAGATAATTTTTCCGTTCTCCAGCAAGGCCCCCACTCTCTGCCTGTTCCTGCTTGAATGAATCTTTCAAGAAAATGTTTGGTCAAAGGTGTATATAAAAGGTGTATGTAACTCCACATGAGACCTTACTATGGCTTTGTAGGGTAGCACTTCCCTATTTCTCTCGAGAAATTGCTCTTGAAACTTTGTAGGTTTATATGTACTTATTTGCCTAGCAGCGTCAGATTTAGACCTCACAGTCACTTTGTGATCAATGACTGCATCCCAGTATTTCTCCTCCTGTGTTATTTCCAGCTGTCACTCCCATCTTCTGGCAGAAATATTATTAGTCCATAAGTGCATGACCTTGCATTTCTACTGTTGAATTTCATCTGTTTTCGTTGCTGTAATCCTCAAGGTCATTCAGTTTTTGTATGATATTACAATGCTTTGTATTGACAAGGTCTCCCAGTTTTCTGTCATTAATAAATGTCACTGCCACGTTATATTGAGTTATTGCCCAAATGCACACTGTGATGGACATAGCCTTAGCAGTCCTATGAAGGTTTGCTTGTGTCATGCTCATTATAGAAATTGATTACTTTTGCCCCATATGCATTCTTTCATATGTAAGAATTGACATGTTGTGCTGTATCTTTATCAATGGCAGCCTTAGCTATTCAGTCTTGTTTTCTGTTTGATTTTAATGCTCTTACTTTTCTGAGTATTCTTACTGTTTCTTAAGAATATTTTGTGTTTAAACCTTACCGCCTTTACTGTCAGGTATGAATACTTCTGTCTTTTGCCTTAATTTTTTTTTTTTATGTTGACCTGTTGCTTAATATATTCCTGACTGGTCCAGGTTGTGGCCTGAGGATTGAAAGTGCTTGTATTGCATAGTGAAATGTATACCAAGTCCAAGATCTACCAGTGCCCTACTGAAGGCTTAAAAAAAGAGGGTCAGAATCAGCTCTATCACTTCTGCTTCAGTTAATGGGATCTTTAATTCTTTGTCTCAATTGAGCTTATGACCTTTGCCAGATCATGACTCCAGAACTTCTCCTCTGGGCTAATCAATGGCTGATTTCCCCATCCTCACTAATGCCATCTCATTTGTAAACCTTGCAGCTCTCAGGGGACATTTGGAAGAGGGTCATGCACACCCTTTTTCTACACTGGGAATCCTGACCTTGGTTCTTATTATCCATCAACAGTTACCAAAGGTCAAGGAGCTGATCCTCCTCTCACACACACAGATAAAGGATACTGGAGTTTCTGCAACACTGGCTGCATGTTCAGTGGTTAACTACAGTTGACATCATGAGGTTCAGGCCACTTCCCTTCAGCCCAAAATGGCATTCTTAAGAGTATCCCAGTAACTGTGTGATAACATGATCTGTAGATGTCTTGAACGTGATTTTTCAGAGGCAGTTTGGGCATTTGAAGCCCAAGCTCCTACCAAGACTCAAACAGTCCATTCTGAGAGGGTTTAGTTTGAGTAGTGTTACCAGGGCCACTTACCACTGTCATTAAGTCTCACCAAGACATAAATCAGCTGATGCTTCAGAGGTTTTTACTCAAGCATGCCATGAAGGCTTCCTTTCACCCCAGTAGCAGAAATTGTCATATGTCCGTCTTGGCCAAATCAGGTTAGCCAGCTCTGTTCGCATCCTTCTACCATGAAGGTTAATTAGCTGGCTAAGAGGTCAGTGAAGTGTACATTCCTTCAGACAGTGCTGTATGGTGTATGGGAGTTCCAATTTCTTTGGCATTGCCTGAAGTCACAGTCACAGCACCACTGGCACCAAGCTACTTCCCAGCTTTGCATCAACAGACTTGTGGGATTCTTTTTGTCATTTGTTTGTTTGTTTTCTAATACCTCTAATTTCCTTGTATGACCTGTTTTCTTCAAGAATCATGACAGACCCTGGCCAAAGTTACACAGGTGATTGAAATACTTTCCAGCACTTCCTTAGTCATATTGTAAGTTCATTAGACATCCTTCACAGGGAGGAGGTAGAGGCTTGTCATGATTCAGTGAATGTTCTCACTTTTGCCGGTGGTGGCTCTGATTTGTTCTAGCTGGTGAAGAGCCCATCAGTAAATGTTGTAGAGTGTGTGTGTGTATGTGCATGTGCACAGCACAGTGGAGGTTTAAGAGACCGATACTGTACAAAATAAGAATAGTATAGATCATTCATTATCAAGATAATGCTAACAAGATTATATTTAGTTTTTATATGTCAAAAACAGGGGAAAAAAAAAAGGCTTTTATCTTGCAAAGAACCTTCCAACTTTCTCTTATGTGTCTTTTTTCACACTCAACACCAGTTGCAATGGGCACAGGTCTGCGAGCTGGTGGATAGCCAGCCACATTCCCCCTAGTGATACTGCAAAGACAAACAAATACACAGGAACTCTGTAATATTTCTGATCGTTAGTTAAAAAACAAAAAAACAACTGAAAACTGTGGAAACCTGTTATATGTTACCTGTAACTTCTTACAGGTGACAGCTTGGGCTTAGTTGCCAGATTATGAATTTGAACTCCAGGACAGTTGCCTTGATTGCTTTGCTTCCCCCAGGTTTTAAAAACAGGTGCTGTGTCATATTGTATCATTGTTTACTGGAGAGTTTAATCAAAAAGCTTACTGCTAGACCTGCAATTTATGTGCCAGTTCTCAGACCTCTATGAAAGAGGTTATTCTGACCTTTGCATTCTTCACATTGATTTCATTGACCCCTACTCTCTTTAACTATCCAGTCTTTGGTCCTGTCATCCTCATCCTAGGTGAAAACAGAAAGAGTGTATTAATTCAGAGCATATCTAAACAGTTATTTGGAGGCAGTTGTATGATTAATCTTCCCTTCTCTGACCTAAATTTTCACTAGCTGGCTCCCCACCAGATACTGTCTTTACAGTAAATGCAAGACTGTGCCCGTGTGAATAGCTTTACCTTTTGACGAGGAAATTTCTAACATGAGTTCAGCATTGGAGCTAATTCATACCCTTGCTTAGTTAGCTTATAATTGCATCTGAATTTGTAGACTTCTATACTCTTTGGGACTGTAAACTAATTATCTTTATTTCTTTGTAGTTATGTAGTCATCCAGAAAGTAATGTCTTGTTACCAAGTTTCTGTTATCCACAATACATCTGGTTTCAAGTGTTGTCTGACCACCTTCATTCAACTTGTTGCCCAAATTCCTACTTTAGCTGCTTCTTACTGGTCACTCACCATTTCCCATCCACTTTAGAATCAGTCGTTTCACTAAATCTGTCTCAAGACTGTATTTTTAATCTACTTCAGGGCATAGCTTGTTCTTCTCTTTGGTGTTAGTGTTGACGTAAGCCCTTCTCCCTCTGCCCACTGCTGTGCTGGTGTAACTGTGTGAGCTATACTTACATCAACTGCCCATTCAAGCCCAATATTTATATTCTGTGTTTTGTATTCTTCAGCTTTGTTCTGTAGTTTGGGTCACTCTCATTGTCTCAGTTCACACTGTTGCCTTTTCTCCCTATTCTTTTTCTGTTTTTTAAGAGGCAGTAAAAAAAAATAAAACAAAACAAAAAAACCAACACCAAAATGCCACTCATCCAGTCATCCCTGTAAATTTATGCAGACTCTTGTTTTGAACGTGTGTTATCAGGGTTAGGCATTAGCAATATGACTTCACAAACCTTTTATTTACATCCATCTAGTCCACAGTGTCACAATAAACTTTATCTTACTTTATGCAAATCTGCAGCTGAAAGGGGTGGTCCTGCTCTTTTTCCCCTTTCCAAACTCTAGAGCATTTGTATGTGGTTACATGGTTGCATCTGATGGATCAGATCATTTTGTAGAAGATAACCCCTTTTTGCTCCCTGAAAAAAAGCATTTTCCATCAAACCAGCAAGCAAATTTGTGTTGCCATGAACTCACTCATGGAGTTAGTAGAATTTGTTCAAGAAAGAAAACGTGAACGTGTAGCTGATAGTAGGGGAGAGAAGAACTATGCCATTGGGAAGCTGCCCACTTTTAGGCTGGGTTAAGCATTTTGTAAGATTACTGTTTCAACGGGGATTTTTTTGGACACTTTTCCAAAACTTCTTCAAAGGAGAAAAAGAGTGAAGCTCTCCATAGCCTGCCATTTCGTTCATTTAGCATATATAATTAAGAAGGATGCAAAGGAGATTCTTATCTCCACTTCCTTAAATATTGCTGTAATATTGAAACTTAATGCATGTATTTGCAGAGCTTTGACTGTACTTTGAACACTGTAATATATTTATAGTGTAGATTGACGTAAAGTATCTTACTATATTTCTAAGTTTTTAAGTTAGCATTTCTTTTAATACTTTGTTCCTTGCCAGTTGTTGTGAAAGGGAGTGGTTTGGACCACTTAAAGAATCACTTCCAACAGTGTTAGCAAAAGAAAAATGATTTAATAGAAATTTATATAAAAGTGCAACTTCACAGAATTCAAAGGCAAGGCTCACTCTAATACATGGATGAAATGTACACAGAAAATTAAGTTAGAATCAGACTATAATTAGATATACAGAGACGGAAAATGCAATAGGGTAAAAGAGGAATATACAAAGAAAAATCAAGTTAGAATTGATTTCTCATGATCCGTACAGAGATCGGGATTGTAAAAGGGTAAGGGAGACCCTCCCGTTGAGTCACGAGGTTCAGAGAAGACCCCCTTGCTTTCTAAACTCCTTTTGGAGTCTAGGTGCAGCTGGATCAACTCTTAGTCACAGACTTAGTCAACAGTTTATATCTAAAGGGATTATGAGTATAATAACAGCCTGAGATTCATTCACAGTTGAATAAAGTTCCCAACAGTAATTTGAGTATAGATTTGAAAAGCAATAACTTGTAATATTCTTGCTATAGAATATTCAGGTTAGTACACACACACGTGCATAAAGGCACTGAGACATATACATATAAGCAAGTAGAAGAGGTATACCTGTTAAAAATTCCCCTTGAGTTCAGTGAAAATATTCACGTCGAATGCTTTGGCATCTCTTTCTCAATGGGCGAAGGGTTGAGTCTCAAGGATTGGAGAGTATCAGCCCAAGTCTTGTTGGCTTTTGGCGACAGACCTCCAATCTTTGCAAACAGGAAAGTTAGCGAGCTCTGAGAGGCATCCTACTCTGAGGGAGATGCTGGTCGCAGCCCACTGTGGTCCAGGAGAGCTCAAAGGGTCTCACTTAGTAGTGCTGTTTATAGGTTCGGGAGATGATTAGCTTTAGTCATTAACAACTTACTGGGATTCCAGCTGCCCTGGTACCATTTCACATGAATTACAATTCAGATAAGGAAGACTCCAGGGCTGTCAGAGAATGACTTAAGATTCAGATACGGGATACTCCAAGGTTGTGAGGGGAGGACTGGGATGTCTCAAGGTTGTCAGGAGAGAATAAATTACCTCTACTTTCATTTTTTTTGTTTTGGATGGGCAGCAGGAGTCCTTGAGACAGTCCACATGATTCCCTGTCTTAGCCCTGTGAGACTTCTTGGTACGGTCAAGGGACACTTAACTGCCCAACTCATTACACTTATGCTAAAGCCTAGTGAGACTTCCCAACTTCGTAGATCAGCCCACAGAGGCAGAAAGAAATGCACCACCACACCAGTCACTACTACCACAAAATGGAACAAAGTAGAAAAGAAATGGAAGTAAAACCAACTGAAAAGAAATTATCAAAAGATGAAAATATATGCACTAAGGCTTTCTGTGTTTTGAGAAGTATGGTATCTTATAAATTAGTATTCTATAGGAAACAATGCTAAAATTTATGCTCAACATGTAAAAAATTGTTCAGTTATCTCAAAAAAGAAGTTTTTTTAAACATAGTCATACTGCAGTGTATGTACTGTTCTTCAGATCTTGTCCTCTAACTCAAAAAAATAAGTAGAAGTAGGAAATACGTTATAAAAGAGCATGTATGTACTTCTCCATTTCTAAGAATAATTTATTAGCTATCTTGCCAGCTACTGCCTTAGGACTGGACTTACATAATTTACAGCATCATAAGTCGGTAGCTGTATTGTATAAATGAAAAGTTAGAATTCTAAACAGTATTAGACATGGTTTCTGATTTTCCATAAGCACTTGCAGTTTCTCTATGCAGGTAGTTTCACTGCAGTCAATTAACACACTTGCATGAGAGCGTGTGTGTCCATGCACCTATGTTTCTACACGTTTTTCTATTGGCCGGTAGAATTTAAGGACCATAGAAAAAAGTTCAGTCTAAAGTGACTGAACACTGATAAGTTTCCCTTCCAGCCACTGATCTAATCACTGGTGGTGCTTGGACATTCCTGGAATATAAGGTGGCTAGTATATCTTGCAGGGTAAGCTGATGTTAAACAAGTTACTATGTAAAACTCCATCAAGTTTAGCTACTTTTGGATAGATACTGTAAGTACAATTTAAAATCAACAGCAATGCTTGATTTGAAGAAAGTGTAGCTTGGTTTTAACTTGCTTTCAGAATGTCTCTTTTTTTTGTATGAGTTGAATTATTTGTGGGTTTCTACCTTGTTAGTGCATTTTAAAGTAATACAATTTTAAACTCAAATATCTGAAATCCTTTTATAATTTTGACAGGTAAATATTGGAAAAATGGATTCTCCCATTGAGAAATGGAACCTAATAATTGGCAACTTGGCCTTAAAACAGGTAAATATAATGGATTTATTTGATTAACTCTTGTAAGTGAGTGAAGTTATTGAAAAAGCCCATCACAAACATTGGTAAGTATGGAGATGGACAATGTTAATGGGAAACTAGCCTTACTACACTAGCTCATACTTAACATACAATGTTTGCATCATGATTTTTTTTGAACAGTGTAGTTCTTCTCTGAAACAATATGAGCTTATATTTATCAGAAGAAGGGGTAAAGTATTCTTTGTGACTGTACCAAGGGTATCTCCTTTTTAATTTTTATGAGAGAAGATCTGAGGATGATTAGAGAAAAATTTCAGATTTGGCAAAACCTTTTAAATTTGTCCTCTCAAATGTTTTCAGTACTGTGTTTGCATTGGATGCAATGTTTAAAGGAAGTATGTGATAGAGCTTTTGGATAATAAACAATATTTTAAATAGCTGGGTCATTTGAAGAAAGGAGTGCTTGTTCTCCAAAGCAACTATTTCTTAAGATTAAGAACTATTTCATGTTCATGTAATACAACATGCTCAAAATATAAGTGAAATGTTTATGCTGTGACTTCACTGTTTTAAGTGGCTTAGAAGCCTCTTCAGGCATTGGCTTCTGGTAAATCCTCGGCTCTTTTCCCTGATTTTACTTTTGTTATTCTTGAGTCTCTGAAATGCTGGTAAAGCCTTTTCTGCTGGCATAAGATTTTTCTTCTTGATCATCCAAGGTTATCATCATCTCTACGAAATGGATGAGCATGCTCCCTTTACACCCTGCAAATAAATGTAGATAGAAGGAAAGAATATCGGAAAATGATTCTGTAGTCCTCTTAAGTCTATCAATTACTTTAAGAATTGCTCACCACCTTCTTCGTTTCCAGGTTCAGGCAACAGTAGTTGGTTTTCTGGCAGCAGTGGCAGCAGTTATATTGGGCTGGATTCCAGAAGGCAAATATCGCTTTGATCATTCAGTCCTTCTGTGTTCTAGCAGCGTAGCAACTGCCTTCATAGCTTCTCTTTTGCAAGGTAAAAGGTGTATATATGTTACTTTTTACAGTTATTTAGTTTTCTGTGGAAGCTGAATGTATATTATGTTGCTATTCCTTAAAAATTTAAATCCAGTAAGGTATAATACATCTGAAACACAGCTGAAGATGGGATGCCCTTTTGCAATTTCCATATGCCTGCATATTGCATTCCTCTCCTGTCATATTCTTTGAAAAGGTTTTGATTTGCATGACCTCCTGAGCATATCTAAAACAAAAAGTATGTTTTTAGACTTTACCTAATATGATGGAGAACTTTTTTCCCCTGCTTTCTATACTCATTAATGTACAAAATATATTCTTAGTACTAAACAGGTAGAATTTATTTGTAATTAAACTCAATTAAGCCCAGATGTTAGCTCAGCTGAATCCAAAGTTCCTGGTTGCCTGTGCTGCTTATATGTTAGTTTGTGCTCTGCTTTGTATCTGAAGTGAGGAAATTGGCTTGTTATGTGAAGGGTTTGGGCCAAGTTCAAGTCCCCCTCTACAAACAGTGCCAAAGACTGTCTGGAGCCATATGACATGATGAATTTAATCTTCTCTTCCCAATTGTCAGGAAACATTTAACCATAAAAGACAGTACTTAATGGACGTGAGGGGAGGGAAAAAGTACCTTTACTTGTGACATATTCTTAATGAAAATACATAGTCAGTAGTCATAATTAATATCAAGTCAAGTAAAATGTTTAACTTCCTTTTTTTACTAATTTGATATGCTAACTTATGTGAAAATTACAAAATTGTTAAAGTTTCCCATGGAATTAAGAGCACGCACTTTTTTTAGTGACTACAAATCCATTGAGTTTGATCATGCACAGAATTCAGAGCAGTGAGAGAACTGGGGAACATGAATGCATTTTTTCCACTTCTCTTGTATAATTCGGACATGAAGAGAAACTTTTCTTGTTATTTGGTGGTGGGCCAGCACAGGAAATTACTTTCCAAGCTTCATCCTCCTACACGTGAAACAGGTGCTTTTGAAATATTTTGATCCTAACGGATCATTTCAGTTCTTTGAGAATTTCATGGAGTGTAACTCTTTAGGCAGTTTCTCTGAAAGTGAACTCCTAAGGTAGCCTACAATACGTAATATTACTAAAATACATAAAAATTGTAATACCAATTTTTAAAAAGTTCTTAAAAATAACATAAACAATAGCATACACAGTTGAAGCTCTTATGTGTATTATGTGATGAGAGGCAAATTAGTCAGGTTATGCCAAAGACAACTGTTAATAACAGTGTGAATTTTATTTTTAGTAGCCACTTGCACTGTGCAGGGAAATGCCTCTTAAAAAGTTAGTGTTGCTGTTTATGGGGAAAAAAATAGAAAGCAACATCCCTAACTTAAAATTCTTTAACTGTGTAGCAAGTAACATTTTTATATGTTGTCTTGCTTTTAATATATGATGTAGCTTCTTGACATTTGGTACTAAGCCCATGACTGAAAATCTTGCACAATATCAGATGTTGAAGTATTTAATCTTCTGTTGTTTTCAGCCTAGTGTAATTTAAATTTCAGTGAGTGAAAGTTAGTAGGGTGTAGAAATAATACACTGCATATTTTTTTCTTCAGGAAATGGCTGATTTACAGTTTCAATACTGCTAATTATACTCATAAGCAAAATAGTTCATTGTACAGATGGTTCTTGATTTTGTGTGTGTGTGCTTACTGTATTTTTTTTAATATATAACCTCATTTTTAAGAATGGCGAGAACTTAAAAATACAGACGTCAGTCAGGTGGGAAGAACAATCATCCTGGGACAAAAGCACTGACTTCTTAAGCTTGAAATTGCCATTTTCTTGGAATTTTCTGTGGAGTTACAACAGTAGATACGGTTACTGTACTGTCTTCTTTGTTCAATCTAGGAATAATAATGGTTGGAGTTATTGTTGGATCAAAGAAGACTGGTATTAATCCTGACAATGTTGCCACTCCTATAGCAGCAAGTTTTGGAGATCTTATCACTCTTGCTATACTAGCATGGATAAGTCAGGGTCTTTATACTTGCCTTGGTAAGTACGTTTCTAAGTGTGTATGTCTCCCTAGGAACCTCTTTTGGGTTAGGAGGGTGGGGGAGAAGGCAGGGAGGGAGAGGTTCAGAAAAGCTTTTAGTTTGACTGACTTTTTTGTCGACATTTTGTACCGTTGAATGATAAACCTTGGGTTGCAACATTATGTCGTGATCTTTTTTTTCTCTTTTTTTCTTTTTTTTAAGATGATAGAAGTCACTGACCACAATCTTGGCACAATCTGCTAATGTCTGAAAGACTCTCACAGTATCACAGTCAGTCTACATGTGAATTAGAAACTGTAGTTGCTGAATTTACTCCGCTTTCTTGGGGAGGAGGGAAGGTGTCTTCATCCAATTTTTCTTGAATGCTCACCCCTAAATCAAATATTTGCTTCCCAGAATGCTTTTGAATTGTTCTCCCCTTGTACTGAGGGGAAGGAGTTGAATTGGCTATCTTGATAAGCTGCTGGGAGGCATTCAGAAAATGATTAGACAACAAGTTAAAAAAAGTTAAACTTTTTTACACAGTATGTGATTGGGATGTGGAACTTATGATGTATTAAGAGGACCAAAGTGATTTTAGAAAATTATTTGGATACATTAATCAGAGAAGAATCCATTGAGGAGCATTGAACAGACAGATGCAGACAGAAACCTGAGAGATTAAATCCCTGAGGCAAACAGCAGCAGAAGCTGGCAGAGCACACCGAAAGAAGCATCACTCTAAACTTGTCATTTTCTTTTCTTCTTTCCACAAACCTGAAGTATTGACCATAGTCAGACACAGGATACCGGACTAGATAAGGCCTTTGGCCTCACCCAGCACAGATGTTCTTATGTTCTTTCTGTTATTTCCCTGCTTTCTCAATGCTAGAATAACAAGCCCAATGGGAATGTTATAAAGAAACCCACAGTTTATGGGCTAGTAATGAAGCAGGTGGGATTCACCCCTGAGCTTCATTCTGAATTAACTATTTTCCCCTATGATTTATTAGCCTAACTACTCAAATGTACGGAAACAAAATATAAGTTTCTGGCTCCTTTCTGCAGGGGAAGAGTTGTTTTCATGTAACAAGACTGGAAGGGGAGAAATTATTTTTGTACAAGCTTTCAGCTTGTTGGTAACAGAGCTGTAGCCCTGTGCTCAGCCTTTGGTTTGAGAGGGATAGGGATTTAAATATTAAAAGGTTAACGGTTCTTTCTGTCTTAACAACTCCCTAAAAAAACCTGTATTTGTGAATCGTTGTTAAATAGCTGGGGGAAAGCACTAGAGGGCTCCTCAGGACCGTGCTGGGACCCAGCTCCTCTTGCTTGAACACAACATGGGGAATGCTCTGGAATAGGAAGACCCAGTATATTAAATGTGGAGGTCCGTGTTGCTTGTCATTTATCAGTAATGATCTGAAGACTTCATTTAAAGCTTTCCTTTTTTCTCACAGAACATGGCTTAAATATGCAGATATAAATTATATTTATTTTGGTTATATTTCATGAATCATTATACACTAGCGAGACTGTCTTCTCATATTTTTTTTTCTGTTTTTTTTAAACTTGCTACAAAACATTTCTGTGGCAGGATGACGTGTATGTGTATTTTATACTTGCATAGTTATTATTTATTTAGAAGTTACCTATTAAATAATTCTTGGTTACTATTCATTGTTCATTTGCTGGATTGATTTCAGTTTTATCCATGTGCGCTTTCATTTTTTTTCAGAAGAAAAGAATTATATGATATTCTTTACTTATTTTTAGTGTTCTTTGTAATTCTTGGACTACGTTACTGGACTAGCTCTCCAAGCCTGGAGACTGATGCAGATAGTTAAATGCTCTCCCTTTTTTCATGAACACATTCTAACAAGTTCTTTAGTTGTTAGAGGGATTAAAAATGAAATTATTGTAAAAGGTATACTTTTTTGAACTTTAATTTCCTTTCCTGTGTTGGTAGAAGCCCTAAAATAAAGAGTACAGTGGGCTAATTGTTGATGTACAAGTGAAAGAATTTTAAAAATTAGTGTTTAATTACAGTAGTGCTCACCATTGCATCCGTATTTTGCTGTTCAATGTTTGTTTGCAACAGAGGATCTTTGCTGACCACCAGACTTTACCTTTTAATAAAATTGGCAAGCTCTCCAAAAATGTGGCAAAGACTTGGAACATATTTTGTGCCCCTTTGTATTTTACTAAATACACTACATTAGAGCTATTCTCTCATTCTGACCTTTAAATCAGTTATGGGCATCTGGTACATCCTAATGCCTCACCTTGGTTCCATATGAGAGGAACAGACAGGGAGAAAGGAAGATGTAGCAGGGATACAGCATGACTTATGGCTTGGAAAAAAAAATAGAGGAGAAAAAAAGAGAGAGGAAAAGGAGAGAAGTTTCAAAATTTTAAATAAATAGATGTAGAATGAATGATGCCTTTCCATGTGACAAATTTTAGTGCACACAGGGATCTTTCTTCATTGCAATTGGAGGGAAAGATGTGTTTACCTAGGCAGTAAGTAGTTCGAGAACTTTACATCAGTACATTTTTGTCTTTTTTTATTAAGTTTGATAAAACAAAACTATAATTATCGAATAGAGGAATCATGTATTGTGTGTACCCTTTTGAGTAAGAACACTACATTAGGCCCACCTCTTAGCTCACAGAAAGAGGAAAAAGGAGGAAAAAAGGCACAGGCACCACAAAGGAAGCATGAGATAATATACTAGAGAATAGTTAGATAAGGAAAGGAAGAAATTACTTCTCTTTTGGGCTTTGTCTCATTCTCATTCTAATAGCTTTCCACTTTTAGCTTACACAATGAAAGGTATCTCACTATCTTTTCTGCTGGCTCTGCTGCAGAGGTTGTTACCAGTCAATGCAGAAGGATAGTAACTTCTAAAAACTCCTCAGCAATTCTTCCAGGAGTAATTTTAGCTCCACCAAGATAACATCAAAGTAGTAATTGCTTGAATTTGCAGCCTTTGTAATAAGCCATAATACATGGGTGAGACTACTTCTTTATACACTAGATATTCCTCTTTGGTAGAGTGTTTGTGTGTTCTACATTAACTACTTCAACCTGTAATTTAAAATATATTTTGCATTAAGACTTGTCCAAATTCTGAAAGTTTAGACAAAATGTATTTACCATTAAATACATGACCACATTTCTCACAAAACTAAATATATGTAAAAGTGGAATGTTTGCATAGTTTATATATTTGCCATTAGCATAAATTTTCCTTTATTTACCTCACTGTTGAATTAGGAAGTCTTGGATAACTGTAATAACTTCTGTATGGATGGGATTATAAAACCAAGTAATCAAAAAAAATAGTATTCTTTCTGTGGAGGCAGCTGTTTGCCTTATAAGCTCAGCTTTATGATGGTATTCCCTGGTGTTTGCAGTTGTGTTCCTATGAAATATGATACAATTCTGATGGATAGGTGCAAGCAGCAGAATCGTGGCTATGAATTTTCAGACTCAGGCTGGTTATAAACCAACTGAGCTACTGATATAAATGTTTCAATATTACACATTGTGCTTGCATCATTTTAGATGTGCTATTTCTGGGAGGATTATCATTATTATCTGTGCTTTGGAAAGAAGGGGGTGTACATATGTTATGAATTTGTGTATAAACAAAATGCATTTTCAATATATTCAATTTCTTTTTTTTTTTGTAGATATGTTACAAAATAATGTTTTATATTCCACATCCTTACTGCATTTTTATCATAAAGCGTCATACAAAAATCCTCTTCAAAATTCCTTCTTTGTACAGATAGTTTTGTCATTGAGAAGATGGGAGATGGTAATCACAGATGGCAGATGTTAACCATATTGTTTAGTGCAGTAGTTGAAACTTTAGGTACAGTAGTGATAAAGGCTATTAAAATTCCTCAGTTGCATGATGTAGATTATAATTTATTTGAGAGTTCTAAATTAGGAAAAACATATAGGAATATCTTGAAAGTAACACTTTGTTTTGTTTTGTTTTTTTCTATATTTTTATTTTAGAAACATATTTCTATGTATCTCCTTTGGTTGGTGCCTTTTTTTTGGCTCTGACTCCGATGGGGATTGTCATAGCTGCCAAACACCCAGCTACCAGAACTGTCCTCCATTCAGGATGGGAGCCTGTCATAACTGCCATGGTTATAAGCAGGTAAGTCTGTTTGTCTTGCTTCATCTTGATAGTCATCCTGTGTCTCTGTATATCTTATTTAACACCTGATTGTACTTAAAAGAAACATTTAAGGCACCTCTAGAATGTAGAGTGTGAATAAACTTTATCTTCCCCAAACAAGAAAGTTGCAAAGTTAAGTGACAGGTGGGAATGAGTGGGAGAGCCAGCAGTAGCCTGTGGCAATGACTGAGCAGAATTGTGCCATATCAAAGGAAGGAAACGGTGAACTATTCATCTCCTGCAGTTTCCAATCAAGATTATACACCGATCTAAGAGATTGTTTAATCCAGTGAAAGTTGTGAATCTTAAAAGTGGAGTGATTGGCTGAAATCCTATGGTATTTGTTATACAAGAAGTCGATTTTAATATATAAATAACTATAGTGATGTTAGTCTGTAGCTGAGAACAAAGTGATGGGGCGGGGGAAAGATGAATTGAGAAGAAAATTGTGCCTTGAAGATGTTCTAAGACAGACCTAAAAAAGTTTTAAAATACTGGTTAATATACCTGCTTGCCTTATTCTAATTATTGTACTTTGTTTTTCAGTATTGGTGGCCTTATTCTGGACACAACTGTATCTGATCCTAACTTAGTTGGAATTGTTGTTTATACCCCAGTAATTAATGGTAAGACTCTGACAGGATTATGTGCTACTATGTATCAATTGATATACTTTGGTTTGAGAAAAGTCTATTACAGTAAATTTCTGTTATCCTAATTAGTATCTGGTATATTAATTTCAAGTTTTGATTTTGATGTCAACAGTTGTTTATTTGAACACCTTAGGAGTGCTTCCTGATCTTATTTACTACAACCATTAAAACATGATAGAGAATGTGAGAAGTAGGAACCTAAAGTATGCATTAAGAAACTGAAAGTGTAAATATTGGAGTAGTATATTCAAATATTAAATGATCAAATATTATATTAAAAGGGTTATGGCTGAGGAAAATGTAGATAAAATTTTATTTCAAAGGATTTTCTTATGAAAGGACAAATTTTCAAAACAGTAATTTATTATTCACATGTAGTGTATGTAAATATAAGACCTAGCAGGGCTGCTACAGACAAGTAAATAGATTTCTCAAGAAAAATGGGTGTTGTTTCCCATGCTTGGTATGCACTTTCCAGGTGTGTAAGAATGTATTTGTGAAAATTTGGTCCTTAAGTTAAGTATTCTAACAATAACAAGGCGAATTTTATAAGAAAAGTTAATATCTTATTAGACTGATGCAGTTTGAAAATACTTTTTTTTCCTACAGTATCACAGGGTTGATACATATTTAGTTTGCAATAATTATAATCACCAAATCTGTTTGCACTATATTGCTACCTAGCTATTCTTTTCCCCTTTTGTATTTCTCTGTTTGATTTCTTACATTATTTTGCACTTCTATGTATTGTTGATTTTTAAACCATTTCTCCAATTACCAAGATGATTCTGGCTTCTAATTTTTGGCTTACAAAGTGCTTTTGACTTAACTTGGCCTTTGCAAATTCCACATGGGTATATTCTGTGCTGTTTTCTAAGCTATCAATTAAATGAATTACAACCACTTGTTTTCCACCTTGATAAGAAAATGTTAATATGGACACTGAGCTGTAGTTTTGAACCACATTGCCCTGATATAATTAATTTTCCAGAGGTTGCTAATGGAAATGTAGCATGGGATAGCACCAAAACATTTTGATAAGCTTTACTGCAGTTGAGAGTTAGTATATCTATTGCTGCGACCATTAGGCAAGCTGTTCAGTTAGAGGAGGAAATGGTATTGTTTTGACAGAAGCATGTTCTTGGTAAATTCATGTTAGCTCTTGTTTTACAGCTTTCATATCTTCTAGATGCTTATAAATTGTCTTTTTAATAATTTGTTCGAATACTTATGTAGGAATGTAAATTTCACTGATATACGATTCCCCAGATCATCCTTTTTGGCCCTTTTTAAAGATATATTTTCTATTTTCTCCATTACAGCCCTCTGGTATTCTCTAACCTCCAAAATAATCAGTTTGCAGAAATGGTCACTGATAATTCATGGATTGATCATCTAGCTTTCTGAGGATGCGCTACATTTAACTTACCCTCAGGCCCTAATACATATCAGTTTGTAATCAGACATCTCCATTTTTATGAAGGCAGTAGACAAAAGGAACTGAGTATTTCAGTCTTCGTAGAGCATGCTGCTTGTTCTTCTTTCACATTAAGGTCCTGTATTTCCTTTGTTCTTACTTTTAATATGAAGCATTTCTGTGTTGCCACTTGTGTTCCTTGGTAACCGTAAATTAATTTTTACACTTCAGCCTTTATGCTTTCTTGCCTGTGCCTTTATATTAGTTCGAAATTGCAAGTACTTGCAACTACCTTTTGTGTGTTTCCATTTTGATTTCCAGATACCTAAAGAGCAGGGCAGACATGTCGATCTTCAACTTTTTTCTGCTTTATACCTATAACTTTTCTTATAATAGTCCTTTTTGGTAACCCCCTGGATTTGCTTCCTAGGAGAAGAGGATTGTTTTTCTTTTTAGGCAGGTGTACCCAAACCAGTAGTCTTATCAGAGGTCCTGCTTTCCTAGATGACATCCCTTGATTACAAAAGCCAACAACTGTCTGGTGATTGTTTCTTACAGTTTCCCCATAGGCCTCTATTTCTGCTCCAGTACAGCACCAGAATACTACTGGATTTTCTCTATAGACTCACTTACTCTATAGACTCGCTTATTCTAGACTTGCTACCTACAATGGATACAGGTCTCACGGATACACGCCTTTCTCAAGGCCTCAGGCTCCTACCAGATGTTGCAGTGATGATGGTCTTTTACCCTGTAGCAGTTATGGACTGCTCTTGTAAGTGGAACTGTGTATCCTATTCAAGGTCATTTTCTTTCACAGAAAGGCTTTGAAACCTGGATTGCCTGCATGTTTACATTTTACCTTTTTAATATTTTTAGCTAATGATTGGACTTAAGTAAATAATTTTAATCGCTAAGAATGACAGCTTACTATATGCCTCTAGAGAAAAGGACAAATGTACCGCTTTGTTTCCTGTTTTCTTTCATAAGTTATCAACAGAATTAAGGCAACGTGCATACATTCTTTTGAACTATCTTTAGAGAAAAAGAACTAGCCAAAAGCTATGCGTAGCCCTGGATGATTAGCTGAAAGGTCAAAAGATCCTTGAAGAATTAGGCAGGTGGAAGAAAGGGAAAGCTGGGGCTATTGGAGCAGGCAGGGAGAGCAAAAGGCATGCTTGTAGCTGTGGCAGTCCCACAGTGGTTCTGTGCTGATGATTCTTGTGATGATTGTATGACCTGCATTCAAAATGTTGCTTTTTCATAAGAAGTTTTGTATTTCTAGAGTGCTCTTAGCCTTTGTCATCTACCCCTTGGACTACTACGCAGCGCCTGAGAATGTTATTTTCCAAGCCACACCAGGTGCCTTATTCCGTTGTTCATCTGGATTTTTCATGCTTAGCTCCTTCTTTTCTTGATATGCATAAAGCAGTCTTTTCCCAGCTCTCAAAGTTTAAACAGTGACTAGTAACGGACCATCAGCGAGTTGTTTACAGTCCCACGTCCATATTTTCAGAACCTTTGCTATTATCCCAGACTTAAACTCTACATTGTAAGAAGAGAAACCTCATACCAGGCTCCATTTTGGAGCTCATAACAAGCTCACAACAAGCCTACTAGGCCAAGACTGGAGTCTTGCAACGGTAGCAAAAGGTTCAGTTAGCCTAAGGCCCATGGCCTGTTACTACCAATAGCGATAACGCTTTTGCAGTGCCACGAGGCAGCAACAGAAGCACTAAGGAATTCTGGTTTTCCCTCATGCACAAAAAAGCAGAGGGGAGTAATGTTGTCTGTGCTTGTGCTCACCCCCTTAACCCTCAGTATTCTAAGGATAGAGGCATTTCTATCAGAAAATATAGAGAAAATATGTTCTGTGTAGAAGATGCAGAGTGGGCCTGTTTTATGGTACACCTCCTGGAAAAGGAAATTGTAGGTAGGTGATTTTTTTGGTTGCTGTTAGATTAGCCTCTCCTGGGTTTCATAATTCTGCTGGCACCTTTTGATATTGCTGGTCAGTATAGTGTAGTAAACTGGGGTTTAGGAAATCTTTCAGTTAAAAAAGTACATCTGTTGACACTCATTTACTGACATAAAAGGTGTGCTAGACCACTTAACAGATGGCTTTTTAAATATTAGTGTTGCAGAAAGCTTTCTCTACAAGTACTTTCCTGGTCTTGGAATTCTCATTGTAAGCCTAAGTAGTGAAAAGAGTTGAGGGTTTTCCCCTCAAAATGTTTTTCACATACCTTTTCCTTTCTCTTACCTTAAAGTTTCTTGCTCCTGTGACACAGAAAACCTGAAAGAAACCAGGGAAACCTGAAAGAAATATTGTAACCTGTTGGGATTGTGTCAAGCCAAAATTTGAGGACAGTGTAAATTTGTTCAGGATTTCAAGCTGTCACTGTTTTTATTCAGTGCCAGTTGTCATATCTTGAAATCCTAAACAGTACGCACTGCAAAGTTGTCAGGTGTTAGGCTTCCTATGTGCACCATTAAGTAGCTTTCAACCTGGTTCTGTCTAGATGGATTGCCTATTCTTAGATGCGAGACAGGTTACTTTCATCACAAATGTTACAGTGTGGAACCATAAGCCTTTTGGGTTAAGAACTATTGGTCTGGAATTTGAGCAACCTCAAAGTTCCTACCTCTATTAACAATAACTGCAAATATTTGTCAAGAATATTAAAATAGTTCTTAAGCAGACAGGTATTTATAGTCAGCTTTACTGCTGGTGGCCAGAAGTATTTCACAACTGCTTTTCCATTTTCCCGTTAAACACATTTCTTGAGATGAATAATTATTTTTAATTCTATGGTTGGTTGGGTTAAATTGTAACTGCTTTTTAAAAATCAATAAATGGTTTTGTGGTTTCAGACATTGTGGTACTTACAAACTACTTGAGATTTAGGTGTCTGTGTGTGATGTACTGAAGTTCTGAATAAAATAACTAAGCCCAAGAGTGGCTGTGCTTCAGCCTAGATACTCAAGTTGATCTTTATGTTTTCTAATGGATGAGATGGTTACAATTTGCAAATCCTCTTACAGCATCACAGCACGTTGAATTTGGCTCAGGAATTGCAGTTTGCAAGTAGCCAAGTTCATTTGTGCAGAAAAAAGGTAATGCCTTAAACAATTATATGCTTCTGAATAGTCAGCAGAAATGAACTAAGGTGCAGGTACCAGATAGAGCCACTTTTGTCTCCATTTTTGTTGTATGCTTAGACAAAACATTGTGAGATATCTTCTAAGTATTTGCATTTCAGGAGTTACTGCATAATAACCAAAATGTTGGTAGACTTTACCCCATTTTATGCATCTTATAGAATGGAGGTTCTGCAAATTAATTGTGAAAACACCTGAAAATCAAAGAAGCTTTGCAGGCTTTATGTAGAAAAACTTGCCTTTGCAGATGGTTTGAAGCAATACTCTTTAAGGGTAACACAAACCTGTTGTAATATTTCTTACTCTTTGGCTGTACATATTGTGAGAGTATTTGATATCTGGAGGGAATAAATGTAGATCAAGGAATATGAGAAATCCATATGAGAAAACTTAA